GGACGGGGACGTCCGTGTCCTGCAGCCCCAAGGCAACACTGCCGGCCCTGAGCCCCCCCCTCCAGCTCCTGTCCCCCATACAGAATGAGATTTTGCTTTGTAAAGCAACCGAGCTCAGGATCTCTGCCACCAACCCGAAGCATGCCACTCAGCATCACCCCTCTGGGAGACCCCAGTGTGCAGCGCTGCTCGCCTTGGAGCATCCCACCACACCTCTGCTAACGAACCCAGTGGCCACCTGCATTATTTTTTTTTTTTTAGTTTTAATTAAATAAAACCCTTAGCTGTACATGGGGCTGCATGCCCAACAGGAACATCAGGCTAAATTGACTTGCAGAAGCCTCCTCACCAGCGCAGCGCTCCAGCCTTCCTATATCTATTTAATTAAAGGGCCTGCATAATTCGAACCCGATAGTTAGATTCATTAGACAGAGAATACCTAATTCTGCAACAGTTTTGCTAATGAAGCCACGCCGGGTATCTGTACGTGAGGATCAGCGTGCACTGCCCAGCACACGGGAGCAAAGATGCTGCCTGAGCCCTCTGGCAGCAGCACAGAGCACTGAGCACTACAGGAGTTTGTTATTGCAGGCTGCTCAGCATGGAAAATATTTCCCCAATTACAGAATTGAAAACAAACTTTAAAAACAAGGTGAAAAAAAAAAAAACCAAACAAAAAACCCAATGAAACAAAACACCAAAAAGTCCCATCTCAAGGGATGGGTGCTGGACGAGACTTTTGCCATTTGCTGGTGCAAAGGGGACGAGGTCACCCCTGGGTGCAATGCATGCATCAGGAAATTGCAGTAGGTGGGCACTGAGCACATCCCTACCAGCACCCCAATCCCAACCCACCTGAGTGTGCCAGTAAGTGCATTCGCAGCCGCAAGCTGTCCAGAAACCTCTTCCCACACAACTCGCATCCGTACGTCTTCATACCGCTGTGCAGCTTCCTAGGGGAAAACACAGACAGGTTAGTGCTGCTGGGAGCCTGGGGAGAGGGCAGGGTGAAAGGGGAGACGATGTCCCAAATGTGAACCCTGAGAACTTCCAAAATATTTAAATGAAATCTACACATTTTATGCAGGCGTGCAGCCAGGAGCCTGCAAAAATCGGTTCAAGTTTTAAAAGCGCCTTAGGAAAGGTCCTGATGGGAGCTTCCACATCAGCTGTTGTCCAGAGAAGCTGTGGGCACTCCATCCCTGCAGATGCTCAAGGCCAGGCTACCTGAGGGGATGTGCACCCAGCTCATGGCACAGGTTGGGGCTGGAGGGGCTGTAAGATCCCTTCCAACCCAACTATTCTATGATTATATGATCTTCAAGGACCTTCGCAAGTCAACTATTCTATGGTTCTATCCCCTTTAAGGATCTTTCCAACCCAACTATTCTATGATTATATGATCTTCAAGGATCTTCCCAAGTCAACTATTCTATAGTTCTATCCCCTTCAAGGACCTTTCCAACCTATCACTTTATGGTTATATGATCTTTAAGGACCTTCCCAAGCCAACCATTCTATGGGTCTTATGCTTTTCAGAATCTTCCCAGGCTAACCCTTCTATGGTGCATACTCTTTAAGGACCTTTCAATCACTCCTTGGTTATATGCTCTTTAAGGACCTTCCCAACCCAGCCCATTCTACAATTCTATGGTCCTATGATCTTTAAGGCCCCTTCCAATCCAAACCATTCTACAATTCCATAGCTCCACGATCTTTAAGGGCCTTTCCAACCTAAGCCATGCTATGTAAGACCCTATGTTTCTCAGCACTGAATGTGGGATGTGTGCTTGTATCCATCAGCCATTCCTGATGTCTACCATACAGTATCTTTTGGTAAACTCCTCCCTACGTGTTGTGCCCTTTAAGACAAAGCAGTGTAACTCTAAGAGGTTGCCTGGGCACATCTGTTATCAAATCTCAATTCCTACCCAGATGCAGCCTGTTACAATCACAACACACAAAAAATTAACCATCAGCCAGCCAACGGGAAATGTGCCCCTCACCATGTCTTGGTGTGTAAAACAACACCTGCCTCTGCCAAATTGCACAACCAGAACTGCAACCTACAAGACCCTGTGCCCCTCATTGCAAGGAGGTGCACACCATTGATAAGCTCAGGCTTTTGGAAACAAGTGCAGCTTTGCAACTGACAGAAGCATTAAAAAATACCATCCCCAACTAATGAAAGCTTCCAGCCAAGTTTGTTGGCTTTTGCCTTAAGGGACACACCTCATTTAACACAAACTTTTCATACTGGTGGCAGGGAAGAGTTCACGAGAGCAGCAGCACATGCAACATTTCAAAATCAGATTCCATAAACAGAGAAGCATTTGTGTGCGTTGGAGAAGTACCACACCAAACAGCTACACGCCAACCTCTGATCGAATCCACCATTTATCACTGCTTTGCAATAAGACAAGTATATTTTTATTGTGCTGTTGCCAACCACAAAACAGAAATGGTCTTGTATGGGTCTGGATGGTGAATATTGGATGCAGCCAAGCAGTGTCCATTGCTCACAGCTTTGTCCTCACCTCCGTGCCCAATGGTCTGGGTGTCAGGATACCATCAAAGGCATTGATGAAAGAATTGGGGTGGAGTTTCTCACCCCCTCCTTGTTTTTTTGCTTGCTCAAAGAACTCAATCACTGCATTTGCACACGGAATGAAACTCCTTTGCATTTCTCAATGCAAAATGATTGCGTCTAAATATTTGTCAACATTACAGATGCTTAATCTGTTAAGAAGACCAAAAGAAATTAAATATCTTAAAGCGCCACTCTTAGAGAGAGGTTTTTTTTTCTTTTTTAATATCTAATCAGGACAATGGCATTAATTCGTCTCAGAAATTCATGAAAACCACATCACTCAGGAGCCCTGAGATATGCTTCCCAAGCTTGCACCAGGAAGGAAAGCCCACGACTTGCTTCGAGACAACACAGCAGTGCAATGCATTCTGCAAGACAGTCACCTCCCATCGTGGCTGTCACAGATGGCTCCTTCAGGTAGCATGCAAGGCAGCCAGCCCCACAACTGCCCAGCAATGAGGAGACCCAAGGATGCTGAACTGCAGCATTGGGAATGCTGGGCTACAGAGAGACACCCAGCACTGAGCAAAAACTCCCAAAGAAAGAGAAGGCAGCAAAAAGCTGCAGAGCAAGTTTGTTTCAACCCTCAACTTTGCTGTAGAATATAATTATTAATCAAGCTTGTCCTGAATTCACTGTGTCATAGCAAAGGATTAAGAGTCATGCACGAATTCAGGCCAAGGCAGTTTAGAATCCAAAGGATTTATCTGCCTTGCAAAAATAAATAAAACACAAGCCTCCCGACAGACTTCTACTGCCAAGAAGTCAGCTAAATAAGTGACAATCTTCCAATTTTGCATTTTTAATTATGGACATGCCTGTCACACTTCCGTGGTTCAGGCTGAGCTGAGTTCTGCACCTATAGGTTCAAACCTCTTTGCTGGGGAGAGAGCAGCCAAAGTTGCAGCGCTCACCTCTTTGGGGCTAGCAAGTGCTCTCAGTGAATTAAAATGTAGTTGGTTAATTAGCTCAAGTAAAACTTTGGTGGTTTTAAGTGAGCCTTAAGAAATGCATAGCTCTGGGTTGGAATTTTTTTAAATTCTTTTTGAGCTATCCTGAGAATAACACACGTTTAGCTTTGAGAAATAAAGTCTTATATCTAACAAGACTGACTGCATCCAAGCAAGTTTTTTACATTGAGGGCGGTGAGGCACTGGCACAGGTTGCCCAGACAGCCAAGGTGAGGCTGGACGGGGCTGTGAGCACTGCTGGAGCTGTGGGTGTCCCCGTGCACTGCAGGGAGAGGCACCAGGCAGCCCTTGAGGGTCCCTTCCAAATCAAACCACTCTCCAATTCTGTTTCAAGGATACAATGGCCATTTTCTACTGCTGCTTTTCTATGGGTGTCACTCTGTAAGTGAAGACAAACTCTTGCCAGACCTCAGTGACCACATCTCCCCCATCCCCGTGCTGTCCCCTCACTCCCCACCACAGGCTCTGCTCGTCCATAAGGGCCAATGCCAGCATGGAGACACGGGCAACATTTTCTGCTGAGCGCAAGAGAGCTCCTTATCTTCAATGCACACAAAAGCCAAAAAAAAAAACAAGAAAACCAACCCAACAAATCACAAGCCAACAAGAAAAGCCATCAAACTTTTTAGTTTCCAGCCAACAGAAATACTGTCTTCTTGTTTTCTGGAACAAAATGTTGAGATGGGAGGAGCTGAACGTGCGCTGTGTCAAAATGCAGTGGGACCCTCTTTGGAGGTGGCCATGCTCAAAGCAGGTCTGGAGGTGAGGGGGTATGGGACAAGCAGGATGGGGCAAGCAGGGATGCTCACGGGACAAGAGTGATGCTCAGGGACCCCCACAGTGTTGCTCCTCCTCCATGAGGGCACCAATGGGCACCGCATGGCTCCCCACTGCGCTCTGCACCCATCCTCACCCATCTCACCATAATACAGACAACAATGCCCAGTGCAAAACTCAGCCCTCGACAAGCACTCATAAATTTATAAGACTTCCTTCCCACCTCCTCCAGCAAAAGCAGCAAAATAGAGAAAAACAGCGGGGCTGGGTGCCATGGCCAACAAAAGAGCCCATTAATCTCACGGGTGCCGCAGCTCCTGGAAATCTGCATCTGCCATCAAACTTGGGCGCTGATTTTTCCAGTCGTTACATAACCTGCTTATTGTTTTAAAGCGCTCAAGTTCTCGCCGAGTAATTTATTTTCAATATCTTTATCAACAAATTTCAGTGGGAACAAAAGTTTTTCATTTGGCGGCTGCTTATAGGACGATCTTATCGCTCGCAATCTTATACAGGCTCTTTCAACAAGGTCTTAAAGCGCTTTATCTGCCGGGTTCCTGGTAGCAAAATATGATTGAAATGTTCTATTTATGCTCACTGGATTAAGGAGATGTTGCAAAACTGCACAAAAAAAAAACCTGGCAGATGTAAGCAAGGTATTACAGCTGCTCAGGCTGTTAAGATCTGAGGGGAAAGATCAATATGTGTTTGTGCCGTTTTACTGAAGTTGAGCCTTAAAAAGGGGAGGGGGGGGGAAAGTATATTGAAGTACACCACTGAGAAGCGATGCCCAAACTTAAGTACAAAAAGATAAACTCCACTTTATTATTGATGCTGAAATTTTATTCCGCGCGCTCCCAAGCATATTAACCAGGAGGATGCTCATGGGAACGAGAGCAATGACAACTGGGAAAAGCTCCTTTTCTCTTTTTTTCCCTTTAACAGAAAAGAAGCCCAGCACCTCCGGAACACCTGCCCTCACCGGGTGACATTTCAAAGCTATTTTTCTAAGATAGTTTTCTCTTTAATTACTGTTAGGATAAATAGCGGAAGCTGCGGTTTCCAGGTGAGGAGGTGATGCTGGATGATGCAGGGGATGGATGGCAGGAGGCAGTGGGGCTGCCCCACGTGCAGCCGCGTGCCAAGGGGCAGCGGGACCCCCCCTGGGGGAGTGCAGCCGGACAAAAGCTGGGATGCAGGCAGGCCCCTCACAAGCTGCAGGCAATTAAAAAGGCCCGTAAATGCCCCGCAAAAAGCACTTCAAAGGGACAGTAATTCCAGGCTCGGCCAGTCGAGACCGCGCGGTGTAAAAATTATGAGTTTTCCCCACGGGGTGCTTTGTGTGAAAAGGATGGGGCTGGTGGCAAAGGGGACGTGGGGCAGCCTGCGTCCCCATCCCACCATGGCACCGCTACACAAAACCCATCCCCTTCCATTTCGCTTCGATACGCTTCCCTTCCCCAGCACCCCCCCTCCGCCTCCCCAAAACACAGCCCTCCTCCCCACAAAACCCAGTGCAGGAAAAGCTCTCCCCTCACCCTGCAGCCCTTTCCTCTCAGAGCGAGATGCATGGATTTGGGACATTTGATTACTTTTAAGTATATATTTTTCCCTC